CTCTGTTTCAAACCATAGTATTTAATGTCAGGAACCTGCTGTAAATACCTGCACAAGTGACCTATCACCTCCCTCCAGATTCTTGTTTCTATCGTTCCTTTATATGCTATTTTTTTCTGAAATCTGTAACCTCTGCCAGTCAAAATAAGGTACTGAACTGCTTCAACATCATCAGCCTCTACTTATTTACTCTTTGCTGTCTTACACTTGGATCACCAATATTTGGGATGTGTGTTCTGGTATTGCTCTGTGTTTGAATATCATCATAAAAAATGCTGTTCCATCTATGCCTCCGGCTTTTACACAGCATGGGAAAAATTATGTCACTTAGCAGTGGAGGCAATATAAACAATTTAAGACTGCTAAATGTAGTAAATATGCTTCTTCTCCTGGTGACTTTGAAGATTCGACTTTTTCCACTAATGTCCATTGAGCCAGATCTTCATCACATACTTTGCTTATGTTGGGTTTTGTTTCTGCTCTGTATTAAGATGCATTTGTAAAACACCCTCAGTAGGATGAAAAAGTACTAGACATTTGATTTTCGGGTGGAATGCTTGTCTTAAAGAAAGCAAGCACATAAATATCTAGTCTTCAAAGGTCTAAAGGTAATCAATACTAAAAGGTTGGATTAGCCTTTTTCACCTTGAAGATGGTCATTGAGTGGAGTTAATCATCTAGATCAACTGGCACCCCTATTTACGATTTACTGAATTATGGTATTAGATAATAAAAAAAAAATCTGACTGGTGCCAGATTTGAAGACAAATTGAAGTCTTGTAAAATACCTAGTGTCTGGAGGCCACTATATGTTTCCTTTTAAACATACATTTTACATTCTTTGTTCTGATTCTTGTTGTCCAGAGGTGGCTTGTAGCAGCTCTCCTGTGATGTGAAACTGATTGCACTGAAAATCAGGTCAGATAAGTCTGTAAACTTCTCACTTTCTGTCATACTCCAGCTGGGAAGAAAATCAATGTACTTAACAACAGCAGTGACATCCATTTGGATTAAGCAAGTGTGTTCAAACCTGCAAATGAAAAGTGAGCTTGATGCTGAAATTTTCATCTCAATGTGAACAAAGTGTATGTGAAGGGATGGAAACTTTTTAATGTTTGATAGAAATGAATGGGGATAAAAATTATTTTGGATTCTCTTTAACTGATTTCATAATTTTATTTTACATATCTTACCAAATCACGTCTTCATTTCGTAATAATACCTGCCTGGAACTGTGTATGAATAGCTTATGTTAAAAAGTTAAAAAACCCTCCCAAGTCAGTGGAGGTGGTTTTATTGGTTTCTGACTTCATGTATTTTTTATTGCGGAGATAAACTTAGCCTAATATTCTACTAGGCAGGCATGATCAAAGCAAATAAAGAGATTTAAAGAACTAAATCCATAGTTCGTGCTTAGGTGAAGCCAGTTATTACTCAGATTTCACAGATTTCAGCCATATCTTCCTGTGCTTAACTTCTTGCTATTTAAATGAGTTGTTTTTACTGTTAACTATTCTTTATGTTTTCATAACATAACCAGATTAAAGAGAATAATTCATTTTTTTTCCACTAACATAATTGTTATTGCTTTTTATATAGACACCTTCATTTAGTAATGACCTGATCTATTAGCATCAATCAGCTTTATGTTTATCTTTTTATCATTATGTCAAGAAGTAAAGAATTGCTTGACTTTCGGTGCAAAAAATAGGTTTTGATTTCTCTCCACCATTGATCAAGAAAATTAATCTCTTTAATTGAAATCCTGAGAAACACTCTTAGCTTGATTTTTTTATGTAGGTTGTTTCTTTTTTCTTTTTTTTTTTTTAATGCATTTTGTGGAGAAGAGCATGCATTCAGTTAGATAAACTAAAGAATACAGTCCTGTTTTCTTATCAGGTGAAATCTGAAGCAGAACCAGCATAATCACCATGCAGAAAGTGTCAGGACAGTCTGTGGAATGGTAGTGGCCATCGAGTACAAGTGTCATCTTTACAACTGTGAAGTTTGCAGTGAGGGAATTTAAGACTTAAAACTTTGAGTGCTTGAAAAAACCAAATATAAATACAAGAATCGATACAAAGACATGGTTTTCAAATTCATATGGAAAATACGAAATGAGGTAGAAACAAAAACTACCATAACAGTCTCAAAAATCCATGTTAATTCTGAGCTTAAACTCCCAGCATCACAATCTTTCACTCCTGCAATTCTCAGTGAATATATTTGTGTCTTTCTTGATGGTAAATCTGCAAAGTTGTCTAACTTCAATGTTTTTTCACTTTTGTCATACACCCTTGCCTAGTTTTGCAGCTATTTTGAGAAAAACAGGATAAGTGTCCTAGCACTTAAGACACAGAAAAAAAGTCATTAAGTAAATCTACATGTCATCTTTCATGCCAAACATTGAATTTCCTTCATATGAATCTTGACAGATGGTCTAGACAAAAATCAAAACTATAAAACCAAGTAATATGATGACTAAAAACTTCCTGTGTGAAAGCCTTGACTAAATGGGCAGTTTTAACTGATTGCTGAGCATAATGTTGTTAACCTGGGGAACTCCAAAGGGAACTCCACAACTGAATTACCATTTTTTGTCCTACAGCAACAGGAAACAATTGAAAGTATTGTTATCTGGTTTTCATTCTTTTAGCCATCATGGTCTGGCAATGAATACTACAATAAAACTGAAGAAAAAGTAATTAGAACAATCTCTTTGGGAAAATAGTCCTTTTCTCTATTAATGATTTGCAAATCAGAAGATTTGTATTCTTGTATGTTTCTTTGTGTTTTGACGTTCCCAGTTTTTAGGAAGCTGTTTGAACTGCGGCTCTGTGTGGGAAACCTTCCAGCCATGAACGCTGTTAATGCCGAGCTGTTCAAGCTTTATGATTAAGTTGTCTTATATCCACAAATGGGTGACTTAATGTATTAACAACATCTCCCTGAACCCCCACAACAATTTTTTTGTGGTAGTGAATTGTATTTTAGGCACTATAAAAGACACTGCAGGTACCTACATTTCACAGTTCCCGATCTTTCATATGAAACATAAATTAGATTCTTGTAGTGTTGGTAAAAAGTAACTAAAAAAAGAAACCCAGAAAAGTCAAATTGAAATGTTGTTGCTTACATAGCACAGTGATAGAAACCAAGTCTTTATTAGCCCGCATCCAGCCATGCCCACTGCACTGACACCTCAGGAAAGAGATCTACATTACCGTGGGGAAAGCAATGAAGTTTGCTGCTCAATATGCAGTACCTGTCAATAATGCAAATAAAACCTGTGTCAGACTGTGTTGGAAGGGTAGAACAACAAAAGTAATGGAGAAAAGTCAGTTGAATGTTGAAGGTGTACACCGAGATTTTGGGATTCCCAGAATAGGTTTACATTGCAGTCACAAACTTCCTCTGCTACCTTGTCCAAGTTAAAAGAAAGACTTAAGAACGTTAAGTGGGACTTTCACTGGGGTTTGTGTTGTGTAAATCCAAGACTTTCATCCTTAAAAACATTTTTTTTGTCTCATTGGTGTGTGGAAGATATTGACATTTTTAGGAAGGAGGATCCCTTGGGGAATACAGCTGTGGTTACACTAATGTCCAGCACAGCACTGCCTTATACCCCAGCTCTGTCAGGATACCCATTGTCTTAGTGATATCTCAAGGGTCAGAAATAGTTTAAAAATTGCCCAGAGAGCTACAGAGAATGAGAAAGGGTTTGTGAAACAGGGTCCTGCCTTATCAGTGAAACTGGCCTCCTAGGCTCAAAGAAAGGGCCCTGAACAAAGGACCCCTTTGAGATAGTCTGGAGTCTTCTTGCTGAGTCCCTGGCTCCTGCTGTGTCTCTTGTCACATGGCTGGCAGCCACAGGTCCCCATGCTCTTTGTAACGCAAGGGATTGGTGCAGTTCAGGGCCTCTTGCCTTGGTCTCCCGCCACTGAGATCTCAGTCTGCATCTTGCACACCAAGACAGTTGGGTAAAAGGTAATTCTGGCAGGGGAAGTTTGAGACCACTGACCACCAAGGCTGAGCATGCAGGCTAATTAGCATGAGAACTGGGAGAATCATTCAACCAATACGAGGTAAAATACTAATTAGATAAGAGAACTAGGTAAATTGTAACCAACGAATCATGCTTTCTTTGTTTTCTAAAGCGTACATGTAGTAAAGTTTTGAGAATCAGCATGATGGCTTTGTGGATTTACCACCTAGCACCCGTCTTTGTGCAAATATGAAATAAATGTCTGGGTTCTGTGTGTGAGATTGGCTTATTGCACACTGGGTGATGAATTCCGCTTTGAGGGACAATCTTAGTATTGCTTGGCACCTCACAAAATAAAGAGCAATTAACAGAAGTCATAAAAAAAACCAAACAAGAAAACCCAAAAAAATGCGCCACATCTATATGGGGAAAAAAAAGAGTTTTGCCTCTGCAGTGCAGAAGTGACAAAATGTTGTGGCAATTTTTGCTAAAATTAGTACAATTTAATGAAAAATATCAGCTCAAAATGGCATTTTCTGAAATGACCCATGGCTGAAAGAAAACCTAATGAAATCTTTAAAATTGTCTAACTTCCATCTGAAGTTCACAAATACCACGTGGACTTCAGATACCTTTTAGTATATTAGCTCGTTCATTGTTCCTGTGAGTCAAAGCAATATGATTAGCTCTGTTTCAGAAAAGACACATTCAACTTTGTATTACACTATTTTTGAAAGTGTTTACATACCTGTGGAGATGGAGTAGCATCAAGTTTTTAAAATATAAAGAGCAGTTAGGTACCAAGGCACCATTCCTTTGTTTCTTTAGAAACCTGAATGCTTTTAAATTTGTGCTTCTCATATTTTGAAAAGAGCAAGTATTGCAATTAAACCTTAGTTCCTTCCAACCCCACTCACTATTTCACCAAACTAGGCTGCATCAGTCCAGCATGAGCTATTTATGCAGGACCTTCAGTCAGATTGTTTTATACAGCAGAAGTAATAAATTCACTTACTTGTGCAAGTCTTGTTATATTTAGGGTTCTCTTGAGGAAACCCTTCCAACCGGCACTGGAACCTGTGCTGCCAAAATTCCTGAAACCATGGATTTCTATGGTTGGTTTCTGGCCGAAGCTGTAGGTAGTAATCATCAAACCATTTTACGTCTGGAGACTGGAGCTTGATCGTTATCCCACCAACTGCTTCATTCTGGTACCCTTCTGTCACATCATACCTGTCTGCCCAGCCATCACTGCAGGGGTAAAGGAAAAAGACACAGCATTAACTATTCAAAGGAATAATAAAAGAACTTCCTCAACATTAAAATTCAGAGCCTAAGAGCACACACCCACAGCTGTGGTTATGAGTGGAGTAGAGTAAAGCACTTGTAATTCTTCTAGTAGAAGAATTTAGTGTTTTTCTTACATTTGCTTGACATTGTCACCTTCCACTTAAATTATCTATTCCACATTCTCCACTTCAGGTAATTGAAAAAACATTAAAAAACACAGATCCTGAAATCTGATGTGTAAAAGTGCATCTCTGGATCATGCTAAACCTCACTGAGCTCTGGGGAGAAAATCTTGGATTCAGTGCTTCTCTGACACTGGGTTGATACTACTCTAACCTGAAAGGAGGTGATCTGTTACTGTGCAAAGCACAGGACTGTGTTGCAGAACATGTCCATACTGCATGATGGAGCATGGCACAAGGAGCCAGAAGCAAATTTTGAATAGGCTGACCCTGCTCAAGCAGAAGCACATGCACAGGGCTCAGAGACAGCATTTATTACATCTGAAGATGAGTAATGAAGACATGAGTAATGAAGCTAGGCAGAGCATCATGGAGATCCAGGTGTTGCTCCTGTTTCTTGGTTGCTTGAGTCGGAGCATTATGGGGTTGTATGATACTGTACTGCACACAGAATTTTAATCCCCTTCTGTTAACCTTTCAGCTTGCAATACTCTGACCACTAGAAGACAGAAGTGACTGAAAACCTAATTGAAAAAAATGTCACAAAATTCTCAGGGCAATTCCCCTCTCCCCAGTTTCACAATGGATTTTCTTGGAAGTAGTGACTTTTATGAAGTTTCACTCCACTCCATAAAAAAAAGAGCATTGCAGATTTCTGTTGTTTTATCATGAGCATGATATTTAAGTTTTTCAAAAGCTCCAAGTATTACAGTAAAAGACTTGTAGAAAAATCTCAGATTGGCCTCTAAAAATTCACTGATGTTAATGACTATAGAGACTACTCTTAAATCCTAAAAGTTGAATAAGTAATGCTTGAAAAATAAGCTTAACTTGTCTTATTTTAAAACTTCATGGTTTGTTTAAAGCTAGTCCTATTATAAGTTAGTCATACTGTAAGTGATGTAGGTGACCTTTATCTTCGTGGATCTGTTGTTCCATTTTGATTATTTGCTGCCTGTCTTAAAATTTTCTTCTGTACTGCAAAACAGGCAGGAATCCTGCTGCAGTCACTTGGTCCCCAGCATATTCCTTGTACTCTGCACTCAGCTGTTCTCACACAGTGCAAAAATTAAGACCTCAGAGAGTGACTCCTGCACAGACACTATTTTGTCAAAGCCTGGACTCTTGACTTTGTCTTCTTAGCACAGCTGCAATGTCAGTAAATAGCAGCTTCACCAAGGGGGAAAATAATATCCAGTGTCTGGATTGAAAATGAAGGAGCTATTAAACATGCTTCAGATTTCAAATGCAATGATTTACTTCACACAGAAAAGTAAAATATATATTCATAAAAGGAGAAAGATGAGTATTGCTGTTCAGCTCGAATACAACCCTTGGAAAATTTAACTTCAAGCTAAAGGGATGAACACAAGTGTTAGTGTTCCCAATCACACTCAAGAGGCTCAGTCAAGCAAATGCACCCCACCTTCCACCAGGACTATTTATTGGACAGACCCACTTATGGACTGTTTTGTGATAAAAGCCAGAGAAGGTGTTTGAAATTTATGAGTGATTTAACCTTTTCTTTAAAACACTCATCTTAATCTTCGGCAAGTTTTTAAGCAGTTTTATCCACCCTCGTAAAACCTGACAAGTTCTTGAATGCAGTAAGTGATAGGTTTTCTGTAATGTGGGATTTTTATTTTTTTTTTAAACTGGGTAGAATTTCAGTATCCCACATTTAGGAGTTGTCTCATAAGAAACTTAGAAAAAAAAGCCTGTTCTCTTGTAATTAATTTCTTTATCCTTTTCAAAGGAACAATTTTGTAGATCTAATCCAGCAGGGTGCTATAAAATTTATAGTATTACTTTATTAATAGTTATCTTTAAGAAGATTTGCAACAGAGATACCATTTTATAACTTTAAATTATTAAAAAAGATGAAAATGACAACTTCATCTTACATAACCCTTCTTCTCAACTTTACTGCTGGAAAGCTTCTTAATTCAACAGAGCTGCTTCTCATTCAAATAGGTATTTCAGCTTAGCTTGGGCAAAAGGCATATTATATAAAACATACTCAAAGTCTGTATTGTAGAGACAACAATGTAGAGATAACAAAGCCTCAGATGGACAATGTGGCAATGCAAATGCTAAACTACTATCTAAAGGTTGGTGAAAGTGGAGTAGGTACACAGGCTAGAATGAATATAGAAAAACACCAATACTGTGTGTGATATCTAAATTCTGCACCCACAGTACAGTAACAGCACTTACAGGATGTTGATGACAGGATGACATAGATATATTTGGAAGAGTAGACCTGTGACATTCTCTGAAGTCATTGAGGGGTGTGAAGAGGAGGGAGAAGGTGACAGAGCGGGAAATACCTGCTTACTTTCATAGTCCTGCCTGTCACTCCTTAGACCTTATTTCTACTCCTAATGGCTTAATTTTACTGTAGTAGCTGGTGATAACTTTTTACTCCATTGTTTTTTCCATTATCAAATGTTCATCATGGTATTGACTACCACTAAAATCTACTTGCTCAACTGAAGAAAGATGCTCTGCCAGCAGAAATCGGCTGTGACAAAGAAATCTGAATGAAGCCCAGTTTAATCTCCACTTTTACCTACTGAAGTGTCGATGTGCACTACTGCAGTGCAGGACTGTGTGCCAGCGAGAGAAATGGTTCTTTATGTTAGCAGTGGGATGTACAGGATATTTAGGTGAGCTAGTGGTTAAGAATAGCTTCTTCACAAGTAGTAAAGCAAGTCCAGGGGAACAGTATTCCAGTAAGAATCTTGAAAGAGTCCAAAGAGATTAAACGGAACATGAATATCCTTAACAGATAACTACACAAGTTCGGGTTTTCTCCCTTACATGGGCACAGTGCTTTCTATATTATTCTGATCTAGGTGAATATGATCATTAGAAATAGGTGTTGCTTCTTAGCCAATGGGAAGGTGTCATAGAATCAGAGAATATGCTGAGTTGGAAGGGACCCACAAGGATCATTGAGTCCAACTCCTGGCCCTGCACAGGACCATCCTCAAGAGTCCCACCATGTGCCTGAGAGTATCATCCAAATGCTTCTTGAACTCTGTCAGGCTTGGTGCTGTGATCACTTCCCTATGGAGCCTGTTCCAGTGCCCAACCGCTTCTTTGTGAAGAACCATTTTCTAATATCCAACTTAAATCTCCTCTGACATAAATTCAGGTTGTTCCTTTGCCTGTCACTGATCACCACAGAGAAGAGATCAGTGCCTGATCCTCCCATTCCCCTCATCAGGAAGTTGTACATGAGACCTGCAATGAGGTCTCCCCTCAGTCTCCTCCAGGACGAACTGACCAAGTGACCTCAGCCGCTCCTCACACAGCTTCCCCTCAAGGCCCTTCACTGTCTTTGTTACCCTTCTTCGGATGCTTTCTAATAGTTTAATATCTTTCTTATACTGTGATGTCCAACACTGCACACAATAATCAAGGTGAGGCCGCATCAGTGCAGAGCAGAGCGGGACAATCCCCTCCCTTGACCGGCTGGTGATACTTTGCCTGATGCCCCCCAGGACATGGTTGGCCCCCCTGGCTGCCAGGGCACTGCTGACTCATATTCTACTTGCCAAAGTTTCTGCAGGGACTCTCTGCCTTTGAGGGAGTCAACAGTTCCTCCCAGTTTTTTGTCATCTACAAACTTGCTTAGTATCCCTTCCAGTCCTGCATGCAGGTCATTTAGGAAGATGTTAAAGAGTACAGGGCCTAAGATGTCCTTAAAGTGACATCTTAAAGGACTTAAGAGTTGCACATGAAGAAACCTTGCTGTGAAAGAAAGCAGTAGTTGCACAGCTGCAGCGCCAAAAGTAAAGGCCCCTTGCCGAGACACTTGTCAGGTATACACAGAACTTCAGAGATCTCATTCATCAGCTTGCCAGGCTAGAAAGTTGTCAACAAGGTAAGAGGACTATAGCATGTTCAAGTCTGACTGCTCTTGGTATTACACTAACATTAAACACAGTGGGGAATTATTTTTCAGGATCATGAAATGTTTCCCCAATATCCAATATTTCTGTGTTTATATTCTTGCCCATCAGACCAATGTCTAGTGCATTTTCCTTAGAGACTGGTAGTGTGATACAGGAAAATAACCATACTCTATAAAATAAAATATATATAAATGTTAATGATGCTTCTAAAAAAAAAAAAGAAAAAAAAGAAAAAAATACAATTTAAAAAACTTATTCTGCACCAAAGAAAATAATCACAGAAGGAAGAAAAAGGTAGAAGTTGCTTTTACTGTTGCAATACAAGTAAGAGGTGAACCTGAAATAGCAGGGCCATTATCATGATGTTTTTTACATGTTATCAGATTTCTTTGCAAATGTATATTGTGCCAGCTACCATTTTTTTAAGAATATGCCAGGGTGATGGAGATTTTAGTTTAAAAATATCCTTCAGCAAACAGAGGGGAAGAGGTCTGCTCCTTGTTAAAGCTCTGCTTAGTTTACTTGCAGTAAATCACAACACAGTTGTATATCATGGTAAGATTCCAATAAATGACATTACAGAGGCACCAATATTTACAAAATTTATTATTGAATAAGTATAAGCACAATAAAATAATTCAATCTCTTAGATAGTTACTATATATACAATTACTTTTAAACATCTGAATGAAAAAATAGGGGCAGATGAGACAAATCCAGGAGAGCTTTTAGTATCAAATTTCACAAAAGGAAAGGCTACTCATTAGTGACAGAGATAAACAGTCAACCGAAAAGAGTGAAGATGATCTAGAAAACAGGCTTGATTGAATTAGCTGAAGATTTATAGCCTAAAGAA